AAAAATTTTTTCTAAATTTGTTTATTTTTAGCTTATAAGTAATATATAATTTTTTTCTTATAATATAAAATTAAATATTGCTATAATATAATTCTTATTTTTATTATCAAATAAAATTTTATTTAAATATTTTAAAATTTAAAAATATAGATTATAAGCATATTTTTAACAATTTTCTAGACAAATTTGTCTGAAAAAGTTTACAGATTAAGAGATAATATTATAAAATTTTAATATACTATATATAACTATATAAAAATAATCTATATGCTTCTTACTCTTAATTTTAATTTTAATTTAACTTTAATTAAAAATTTTATTTTTTATACAAAAAAGATTATTTTGATTTATATTTTATACTAATTTTGTATTTATATATAAAGTAGTGTTATAATGCTATAATACTATTCCTTAAAAAAAATTTTACACTTTGTACAAATTTAAATTTTTATAAATAAATTGCAAAAGTATTACTAATAAAAATTGTCATCTTGGGTATGGTAATCTAGTGAAGTAGTCAGGTTGTCAATTCTCCAAATGGTAGATTAGGTGTTCAAATTCTATTGATATCAAAAATTTAAATAATCATCTATATAATATTTGTATTATAGCAACTATTACTAATGATTAGATTAGAATACCTATAATAGCAGTTACATTAGCATAACTAGTAGGTCATAAGACATTTGTACAATATTGAAGTTATATAGAGAAATACAAACTAACAAATTAGACAATGCAAATACTAGATAAGTCCTTGTAGTCATGTAAATTTGTTAAAATTGAATAACAAAAAGTCTATTTAGAAAGCCTAAGTAGAGAAGTAGCTGAATTTTCAATAGCCCTACTGTAAAGGCTAGTCTAAGAAAATGAATACCAAGGTTGTAGTACCTAGCATAGTAGCTGAATGGGCAAGAACCTTTAGATTAGAAGTCTCAGAAGTACTATCAACTAGGCTGCCAAAATGAACTGAAGGAAAAGGATATCAGACTAATCTGATATACCAATAGACTGGTTATAGTCCTATATAGGCTATCTGAATTGAAAGTTTGGTAAAAGATAGGTGAAAAGGCAGAGATATACTAAAATACCAGAGTTATGCTAGAAAGTAGATGCTAGAATCTAAATAAACTCCACAAAAGCATAATGGTTTAATAGTTAAGTTCTAATTACAAGTGTTGGTTTTGTTATAGTGATATCTAGATTAGCTATAAAAATAGGCACATAAGGCTTTGAAGGGTTTACCTTAAGAATAAAATAGTTTTAAGATTGAGACAATGATCTGAACATCAGATATGACCCAGTGAAGTTAACAGGTTTGCAAATTTAGAGGGTTTAAAATAAAATATCTAAGCAGAAGTGTTAGGTATAATAATTGGTAAAGAATCTTTAGATGAACTTCTTAAATAAGTAATATAAAAAAGTAACACATGTAGCCAATTGTACACTTTTCCTATAGTAGTTCACTAAACTATATTTACTATTATTAAATAAAGTCAAAAGATCTAAGAAGTCATCTTAATATTAAAAAAAAAAATTGTTATCTTTTATATAAACTAAAATATTGTATTAAGAACTATAATATAGAATTAAAAATTAATATTTAAAGAGTTCACTAAAAATTTGTAAATAATTTTTTTAATTAAAAATTTTTTTTAAATTTGTTTATTTTTAGTTTATAAGTAACATATATTTTTTTTTTATAATATAAAATTACATACTGTTATAATATTCAAATAATATTAAATAATATTAAATAATATTTTATTTAAATATTTTGTAATTTAAAAAAAGAAGTTTAGATTCTATAGCTTAGTAATAAGCTTCTAAAACTCTTTATAAACAAAATCAACAGTTCAAGTCAGGCTAAAGGCAATTTTGTTTTTATAACTTATTAAAGCCATTAATTGAATGCAAAGCTCTGTAAAAAAAGTCCAAATGCAAATATAAATTTTAAATAAAGAAATTCACAAAAAGAAACCCAATTATGAAGTATAGATATTATGCATAATAGCAGCATTATAGAAGAGTATAGTTATAGAAAAATTGTATATATAAGTCCTTAAGACTAAAGCAATACCAATATTCTTACATCTTCTAATATAGGCAGTACTAACATATTTGCATCTAACTTGTAGAGTACTTGCTTAGAAGGATAATCACTGGATTGTATGAATAAGTTCTAATTAAGATTTAAAAAGAAAATTTGATTAAAAGAGTACTTTAAAAATAACTAAAACTAGAATAGTAAGAAAAGTGATAAATATGAAGATAGTCTGTAATAAAGGATTAGTCTGACTAAAATTGAAAGTATCTCTGGTACAGCTAAATAATCTGACTATAAAAAGAAAATTTTAAAAGTTTGCATATAACTTTTTTGTATAAAAAAAAGGTACCAAATTAGATCCTGATTATATTTATATAGAAGTCTATAATAAACAAGACTAGAATCAACCAATCAATATGAGATAAGATCTGCAAGATAGTATAACATCACTAAGGTTAGTATAACTTCCTAGGCATAATCAGAATTGTTTTGCAAATATTATTAAATAAGCTAAGAGCTTACAATATAAAGTAGTATAATATCACTAGAGTTAAATAGAGATTGTACTTATCAAAAATTTTAACTTTGGGTTACCTGCCCAAACAAAAAATCATTGTCAGGTTACAAACTAGATCACCTGAGTAAACCATATAAGCTGGATAACCCAGGTAACCTGAATATAAATCAAGCATATATCATATATGTTAGAATGTTTGGTCAATATACTAAATCAAACAAATAAATTACTCTCTTTTTTTTGCTTATTACAGTATTGCAGCCTTTAGATCATGTTTGTACATATATTCATTTACCTAAAGATTTTATTTTTTTTAGTTTATAGGTATTAAGATCATGATTTTAAGACATGCTAAACAAGATCTTCAAGCTTTTTTGGATCTTGATTATTTGATTTTAGCATTTAAAATCTACATACAGTACAAAAATAATAGAATATTCATATTGGCTTTTAAAAATCTTTTGCATTGTAAAGTTTAATGTTTCTATACTATTTCAAACTTTTACTAATTAATATGTACTTTTTTTTTAATGAAACATTATGATCTTAAATATTACAATTATGAATAAGTTACCTGGTTCTTTTATAACTTATTTTATAATTTATAATAGCAGTCTTTGTAAGTTATAAAAAATTTTTATTGTAGTTATATAAAATATAAATAAAAAAGTTATATAATACTAATTATATCATTATTTCTTTTTAAAAACAATATTTGTAAAATGGTTTCTGGATTAAGACAAGTCTGTTTAGGAGTTACTTGGTTCCTCGCATCAGAAAATAGTTGCTCACTTAGTACTGAAGTAGCTGGTATAGATAAATATTTTTTTGCTAATTTGCTCAAATTTGAAAAGTCTTTTTCTTATTCTTTTCACCAGTCTAAGGTTGACTTGGTTTTTGATGCAATAGGCATGTTTAAATATTTATCTAATTCATCAATGGATGAATTATTATCATTATTATCCTCATCATCAAATATTGAAGTGAAGTAATAATTAGTTGAAGTTATATTGAAATGTGTTGATTGTGTAGGTGTTTTGTTAATAATATTGTTACATTTTTTATGACATATTCTAATTGTTTCTTTCTGTAGTTTTTCAGACCAAGGGTGCATTTTCTTGAGCCTTGGATCTAGTAAAGTTGCTATAAGGCCAGTGAACATTGGAGTTCCTTAATATTTCCAAAGTAAATTGTAAATTGCCCACTTAACTTGAGCAATTGTTGATTGAACATTAAGGATATCTTAAGTATAATCCTCTTTATCTTCGCTATTACTGTTTATATCTGATTCTGAAGATAAGAACTAATATTAATATTTATGAACTAATATGAAAAATTATACAATTTTCTTTTTTTTTTTATTAATTTTATTATTTTATTTACTTTTTATTATTTTTACAAAAATAAAAAAACAAAGCATATATCATATTTATTATTTAGATCATAATCATTATCAACCAAGAGAAGATTTGGATCTACTGTAAATTCGAATTTCAGGAGTTCAATAATGGGATATATGATTGATATTGTAGGGTACTTTTAAGCACTAAATGCTTCTATTGCATGATTAAATTTTTCAAAAGTTTTAACTAATTCTTCGATTAATTTCTATTCATTTTTATCAGGCAAGTATCATTTAAGTTTTTTTTCATCTTTTCTGTTATCTGGATTCTGTAAAATGTTCAAATTTACTTCTAGGCATATAATTGCATCTTTTAATTTCAATAATCTTTTCCAAAACTGATATTTAGAATTTCATTATGTAGGATAGTCTTTAATTGAATGAAGGAGCTTAAAAGTAGTATTTATATTTAATTGTTTTTCTGACTCTGTATTACTTCTATTATCAATTTTACCAACCTCTTCATCATCAAGATAAACTTCAGCATAAGATTCCATATGAACTAAGCTAGAAGATGTTAATATATTTCTTTCCATTACCCTTATTTGGGCTTTCTCTAATCTTTCTTATTACTTTGGTAAATCAAAAAAATGAACTAATTTTTTATTTTTTTGTTTGTAAGCAAATTTTTTGCAAAGCAAAATTAACTGTTAATTGTAAAGTATGTGTAGCACATAGGAGTTGAATAATAGTATTTTATAACCTAATGGCTTTTATCATGTTGAAGCCATTATCAGTAACAATGTGCACAATCTTATTTTCAAGATTAAATTTTATGCATTTATTATTAAGAAATTGATAAATAGAATTAGTAGTATATGGGTATGATATTTTTTCACAACATAATAACATGCTCTGGAAAAACTAATTAGAAGTTATCCAGTAGTAAGTGACCCCAATATAGCCTTGGTTATTACATGAGGTCCATAAATCTGCTATTAATATAGCAGTTTTACAAGACAATATAATTTTTTGTTTAAGAGCATCTATATTTTTTAGGTAATTTAATAATAGTTTATTTTTTATTAGCTTATTAGAAAGTGGACGAAACTTTGAATCAATTATTGCCATTATACAATGAAATCTTTTTTTTTTTAGTGCTAATAAAGGTTCATTATTCAGAAGAATTCATTCAATAACTCCTTTGACTATTTCTTTTCATCTTTCACCTTTATGTAGAGTATTAGTATTAGATTTGATCATTGCTGATAATGTAGTTTGTTGTTTTTGTAGTTCTTCAGGTTTTAACTTTTTGCTATTCACAATATTATAAGATTGTAGATAAGTAATCATATTTGATGTTAAATTATTATGAATATATCTAGTTTCACACTTTTTGTCTACGCTATTTTTTTTAATTATAACTTGGCATACATCTTTTGTTCTGATTTCTTTAAAATACTTCTACACAAAACATGATTTATTTCTTTTACATCTTTTTTTTTATTACTAGCCAACATGGTTGTAAAGGGTATTATATTATTATTATTATTACTATTGCTTTCATCAAAATATATAGTTTGTGAAAACTTAAACTAGACTGAGATTTTATTTTTATTTAAAAGTTATAGTACCGATAAGAGATGATTTAAATGCGCAAAGTAATGTAAAGATTATAAGTTAAGTTTGTTAATTATTATTTAATTATAATGTATAATTGAGAGCAAGAATAATTTAATTAATAAATACACAATAGCAGTAAGATTTAAAGTCAAATACATAGAAGTAAAATATTATTTAAATAATTATTTAGATTTTGAAATTGAATTTTGAAGCTTTATTCAAGTCAAAAAGCATAGTTTAATTACATTTTTTAAAATATCTAAATTTTATTTTTTTTTACAATCTAATTCTTATTATTGTACAAGTACATCTTTTCAATAACAATATAGTTTAATTATACAATGATGCTTTTTATATCGATTCAGTTAGCTTTGAGCACATATTAGACTTACTTGGGCAGGCTTATACTATTTGATCTGTAAATTTATTTTTATTGCATCAAATTGGTGACTTTGAATGCATATTCAACTTATTTAATAATTAGGAGAATTATTTAATTATCATGCTATTTAATCTGTATAATTATGTGAACTATTTGGCTTTGAATACATATTCTACTTATTTAGATGCTATTCATCTTGCAGAATTATGCTTCTTGCATTAAATTAGTTAGCTTTAAATACATGCTCACCTATTTAGTTTATAAAATAATTAATTTAATTACTATGCGATTTGATTCTGCAGAATTATGCTTCTTGCATCAAATTAGTTAGCTTTAAATGCATGCTCACCTATTTAGTTTATAAAATGATTAATTTAATTACTATGTAATTTGATCTTGCATAATTATATAAACTGGTTGCATAATTGATATATTTAAGCAAGGTTTAGAAATAATTGCATTTGATTCTTTAGATAAGTTTGAAAATAATCATGCTATTTGATTCTTTAGACAAGGCTTGGCAAATTATACTATTTGATTCTTTGAGCAAGGCTTAAAAATAATCATACCATTCAATTCTTTGGGCAAAGCTTAGAAATAATCATACTATTCAATTCTTTTAGCAATTTGTTTTGATCAAGTAACTGAATATAAACTAATAGAAGAATAGTTAATTGTATTTGTTAATGAAAACTGCAAATGCAGTAAGAGAATTCGTATATGTAAATATATAAGAATGATCATGTAAGGATTAATCTATATGTTTTTTGGATTTTATTTTAACTAATCATCTACCACCAGATTCACAATATCCAAAACTGTAAAGTGAATCCAATTTAGAAGAACCATTTACTTGCAGTGTGAAAATTGCAATACCCAAAATCGTAAAGTAAATTTTATTTGATAAGATTCTCAATATCTAAATAAATTTAATTTAAAAATTCTATCTTGTGGCATAGAATTGCATCTTCAGTTCATGTATATTTTTAAAAGCATATTCTATTGGCAATAAACTTTTTTTTTATTAGCACCTACTCATATAATATATTTATTATGAAAGCTAATCTTATATTCAGACCTTTTTGTTTTTTATTAAGATCCATTTGTTGGCATAAACAATCTTCACTATAAATTCTCATACAGACTAAATACACTAAACACATTGGATATGCATTTAAATGAAAATATATATTAATATTGTTGTTTTATATACTAATTACTTATATCAAAAATTTATTATTGCCAAATTACAAACTTATCAAATCATCCAAACAATCATTTGGTCAATTTTTCACCAGAAGTTCAAAAATTTATAAGAGTAGCAAAATAAAAATTAGACTGAAATTACTTATAATTTACTAATAAAATTGCAGCAGCTAGATAAAAATTGTTTTTGAATAGGGTTGTTAAAGCATATCTGACAACTTACTTTACTTTGTAATTTACTGTAATTTACCTGGTCCATTTGTAAGTAACAATATAGATTTAAAGCTAGCCAAATCATATGACAATTTTTACTAGCATTAACATCAACTTGTGTCAGAGAATAAGGTTCAATAGGTTTAAGTTAATTTATAATATGACGTACTACATATGTCAATTAACTTACATAACTTACAAATCATTTATGTCAGTTACAGTAAACTTACTATTAGTAAAATAGGTAAATTTATATATAAGTCAACAATCTTATTCCTGGGCTAATTTAAAAATTTTTTGTAAAAAAAAAAAGTTAATTCTGACCAGAAATTAGTAAGCAATTATGTAATGCAGGACAAAATTTTGAAGATCCTCGGCCATTAGCCAATCAAAATTGGAAATCTGCTATTACAATTTTGTTGTAGCAGCTATCACTATAGTTAATGTAATAACTCAAGCTGTAATATGAGTTTATAAATAACTAATACAGGTCATCCGAGTAGCAAAAGTCATGACTCAGTTAATAGGTGTTATGCAGATTACCTGGGTAATCTTATATAGGTACAATTTCTAGAGTCAAAAAACTTCTTAGATATAACCAAAATTGTTCTAATTATAAGTGTAATAAGTTTTGGTTCCTATTATAAAAAAGAGCATTCTGATGAAAGTAATATGTAGCATTGAGTTACTGTATAATATTAAGATCTGAGGCATCTGTAAGTAGTGATTGTAGTTGCTTATTTTTTATCAACTTGACTAAGCTAATATTCAAAATTTAACTTAGTTGACTATAATCGAGTCGATTATTCTTATTGGATAATTCTAATATGTGACATAATAAGTTAATGTAATTGGCCAAATTGTTCACTAAATATTAATATTTTCATTTATTTAAAAAATATATAATTGATACCTTTACAGTATAAAGTCTAATACACTTTATATTTAACTATCATTAACAATAAAAAAAAATATTCAATTAACAAAATACCAATCTATTGATATTTAATTAAAAACATTACATTATGTTAATGCTAAGTAGTTTTTTTTTTGAAGATTTTTTTGATTTTTTTTGATTTTTTTTAAATTCACAAAATACCATAAAGGAATTCTTGTTTGAAGATTTAATACTAGCCAATATATTTAATATAACTTGCATATTTAAATAATAATCTTAGATAATTTGAAAAATAAAAGGTTTAAATTTATAAAATTATAATTTGTTTTTTTTTTTGAATATCTCTGTTGTCTTAACAACTAGAGGTGCAGGTGGCACTCTTTTATTAAAAATATTATATATAACTTAGTTAGTTTTTAAATATTTACATATTAGTTTAAAAAATTTAGATTAGAACTAAAAAGGTTGTTTTTTAGAATTCGTATTTCTTTTAAGATACGATTTCTAATGAGAGAGTTTAGAAAGTTAAGAGATGTATCTGAATCTCTTTATTTTACTGAAGTGTATCGATACCATATCTTATAGATTGTAGTAATATGTAACCAGATCAAAGCTGCTAGAGCATAAAAACAAGTATTGTTGAAGGCTTAAAAGATGTCATTTAGTAAAGATGGTATAAGTATTTCTTCATTAATATTAAGAAAATGTATGCTTTCTTTCAAATTATTATGCTTCGAGAATATTTTAAAGCAAAGTGTTCTATAGTTTGTACTTCATTTGAGCACCAAGTACAGTTTCCTGTTTTTGATAATCCAATGTGTTTTAAACAATATTCTAGTAGAAGTGCTCTGTGAAAAAGATGCCAAAAAACATCTTTTTTCTTGTTACAAACAGACTTCAAAGAAAGCCAAATATGCTGTGGTGTCTGTGAAAAAGTTTGTGATAAAGTTGATAAAAAAGAAGATTTTTTTAAAAGTTCTAGAATTTTCTTGACTAAGAGTTCATCTCTTTTAATTTGTTCAATCCTAATTTTGTTACTATTCCAGAGCCAGTTAGAAGTATGTGAAACTTTTCCTTTTATTCTTGTTCAGGTCTTTAAGTAAGGTTTCCATTCTGAAGACTAGGCTTTCATACCTGTGTTGCCAAAATTTAATGCCTAAGTAGGAGAAATGTTTCTTCTATTCTTAAGTATTAACTGTATCTTATTTCTTTCGTATATTGCCTATATAGAGTTGAATGTGAGAAGTTTTATCTAAACTGTTATTAAGCAAGCATTTAGCATGTCTTTGATAACTAGAGCTTAAAGACCTGCTAGCTCTGTTGATTGCTAAAAGATGAAGTATCTAGAAAGCATCTGTAATGTGCCTTTAATCCAAAGAGTTATAATTCTGTTTATATCTGCTATTTGCTTTCTGTTTGGAGGAAGCAAATAGGCTAAGTACCAAATTTTAAATAAGATAAATGATTTTGTGATTAAGATTTTCTCTTTAAAAGAAAAGTTTCTGTTTAGAAGCTTGTCAAGAGATTTTTTAGCTTATTAATAGTAGTGGCTCAAAGATCTTTTTTTGGTTGGCCATTAGTAAAAATGTTGTAACCCAGAATAGTAATATTTTCTTGTTCTTCCAATTTGATAAATTAGTTTTCATTAGTAAGCTCTATTTATCAAGCTATAGCTGTAAGAAGAACTAATTTGGTTTTAGTTCTATTGATTTTTGCATTTAAAGCTGCTTCATATAGGCTTAGTGCTGTTACAGTTTTGTTTCAATCTGAAGGTAATCCAATTCCTATCATTAAATTATCTGCATAAGCAGAAGTTCTAAAGAACTGATTTTCTAGTTTTATACCCTATAATTAACTTTCTAAGTTCCTTATAAGAGGCTCAAAGCTAGTATGTAAAAAAGTGAAGAAAGAGGATCTCCTTGTCTAACTCCTTTTTCTACTCTGAGTTGTCTGAAGATAGCTCCAGCATTTATGATATAAGCCTCTTGGTTAGAAAAAAGATTATGTACTAGGCTTATAAACTTGTGATTA